TATTTTTTATACTACAATACATATATATAGTATATATATATACATACACTATACTTCTACTTCTACAATACTATATACATAAACCATCATTTGTAAATTCCTTGTATTTCTGAATGTATAAATGTTTGTCTTAATAAATTAAACTACATTAAACTAATTAACAAGTTTAGCAGTAACGTTAAAGATTTGTCAATATTTTGTAAAAGTCATGGATTAAAATAAAATATTAGGATTTTTAGGAACACCGGGCAGCAGCACATTGGGACCAAGTATAGTTGATGTTGGAGATCAACATTCCACTTCACATCATACCAAGACAGGTAAAAATCTGTAATAATTACGTATTATCTTAAAATTTTGATCAATATCTATACTAAGAAATAAAATTGTAGTGCTATCAAAATAAATGCCTAGATTTAACTACCTAAACATAAGGGGCTATTTGTATTTTTTTATATATCAGAATGTCTGAAAGTTTGACTTAAATAAGCCCTGAAGCAGCTTAACAAATTTCAATAAAATCTAGAAATTAATATAATATAATACAGGAAGTTTTACTTCATGTGTTAAATATAAAATTATACTAATGTTATAAGATCTATATGACGGAAGTAGAGGGCGTAAGACGTAAGAAAAATTTATTTTGCTGCTGTTGTGACAATAATCAAGAAGTTTTTTTCATTGCATTTAGTGATATATTTAATTTTTAAACAAAATATTTGCAAGGTTAAATATCTAAATTTAATTTTTTGAAAAAATGAAACAAAAAGGCTTTACTAGTTAGGAATATTCAAATATTTTATTTCGTTTTTTTTATTAATTAAAAACAGATGCCCAGATGTAGATTAAAATTATAGTTATTGGTTAACTAAGTACATTTTATATTTTCTTACTAGCAACCCATCCTCATTTTTCATCGATAGCCATGAGTAAGTTATATAATGTGCTTAAGTATAGTTCTTCTCTTAAATTCTGCGTTTTAATGGTGGAAGCCCTATGAAAATCCATACAGGGGGCTTTAATTTATATTTTTTCCTGATTGATAACATTGATATCCATTAGTTAATGTTATTTTAGTTTATAAATTCTCTTGTAAAAACAGTTTTTAGTCTAACTTTAAATACAGTTATTATATCTGTTATTATAATATGTTTCAGCCACAATTTACGGCACACCCACTGCCTCTGCCGTATTGACGGATCACAGCTACAGTATAGCTAGCAGAGCTTCTAGAAAAATATTTAGTCATGGTAAATATTAATTTCTAATCATAATACTCATGTCATCTCAAAAGTACAAAAATAATATCATAGTCAGATGAAATATTACTGCAAATTGAGATCTTCATTGTAATTTTTAAAATATTTTTTTTATTTTTAGGTACAACAAAAAGTTTACTGACATGCAATTGTATTCAAGTGCAATGTGTCTTTACTACCAAAATAAAACAACTACGATCTGAAATTAATCATTTGCGGAAGAAAGGCCTATCTTATAAGATGAGACTGGCAAATGCTGTTAAACTCTGAAGATGTAGCATTTCAACAAATTATCAAAAATTTTAAAAAGACTGCTCAAATATTTTTCAATATGCAATTGCAATCGGCAAAACATTGTAAAGGTAGGCGATTCTCTATGGATGAAAAATCCTTGCCTTGTCAGTGTACAAGAAAAGTCCAAAAGATTATTCATTATTTTATAACTATTTCACATTATCATGTACAAAACATTGAAATATTGATTAAGTCAAATAAAACTCTATCCGTGCGTTAATGCCATTATATTGAAAAATATTAAAAAAAAAAACCTGTACTAGGAAGACATACTGCTGATCGATTATGCAGTCTTATATTTGACGAAATGTCGCTGACACCACAAATATTTTATAATAAATCATCATCATCATCATGATTTCAGCCTGTTTGAGTCCACTGCTGAACATAGGCCTCCCCCATAGACTGCCACGAAGTACGATCCTGAGCCACCTGCATCCATCGACTTCCCGCACATTTGCACAGGTCGTCACTCCATCTAGTGGGGGGTCGTCCTACACTGCGATGGCCAGTACGAGGCTGCCACTCGAGAACCTTTCTTCGAGCTATATGGCCGGCCCATCGCCACTTCAGCTTGCTAATCCTCTGAGCTATGTCGGTTACCTTGGTTCTACTACGGATGTCTTCGTTACGAACTCTATCACGCAGAGAAATACCGAGCATAGCCCGCTCCATAGCTCGCTACGCTTATAATAAATAAAAAGATGCATTTGAGGGCTTTGTCACAATTCAAGGCACTAAATTTGCAAACCATGCTCTGGTTTTTATGGTCAAGGGGTTGAAACATACTTTTAAGCAACCCGTAGCATATTATTTTAAAAATGCCCTTCAAAAATTAGAGACTAAAACATTATTTAAATCTGTAATATCCCAGATACAGAAATCGAGCCTAATTATTATAAGCACTGTAAGCTCCGTAAATGTAGGTGCAATAACTGAACTAGATAAGGACACCAGAGCGAGACGTTTGCGATTAGGCCAAGATTTTTCTACCGTATATCCTCAGAAAATTATAACATTGTACGATTCTCGCCATTTAATTTAAGACATAAGAAATAATTTACTTATAAGGGATATGGCATACACCTCTAAGTAATCAACTTAAAATAGTTTAGTGGAGTTATTATCAGCAGGTGTATGCTGCAGATAAATCACAAGGTGAGCTTCGATTATTATACAAAATAAAAGAAGAGCATATAATACCAGAAAAAAATCATTAATGGTATTTTATCCGGATAACTGGCATACAATGAAGACGATGATACGAAAGTTTTAGTACAAATTCACTCATTTATTTCTCATCATATTTTAGGAAATTTCAGTTCATTCGCCTTATATAGTACTGTTACGAACACACAAACCACAAAGGAACTAGCGCCATCTAGCGTCAACCAGTAAAACCACCCAAAGAACAAACACAACATGAAATCCCCTACTCCTCCTACTACTAGATGGTGTTAGAGGAACTACTGTGAAACTATATAAAACTATAGTCTCGAAAACCGGCTACATTCGTGAACTTTCCAGAATCACGATCACGTTCACGTTCGGGCGAGTCGGTTACGTTCCAGGAAGGAACTTTCTGGAATAGTCTGGGACTCGTCTCGGCCCATATAAAAAGCCTTAGGGAGGCGAGCCAGTTCACTTAGCCGGACTAAGATACCTTATGGACGCCAAAGGGCTCCCCATCCCTGAACAGTTTGGCTTTAGAGCAAACATTCTTGTACCCTTCAAGTGCACCGCATCACGGAGCACATACTAGTCAAACGCCAACGCGGACTCAACACCGGAGCACTCTTCTTAGACGTGGCAAAGGCCTTCGATAAAGTCTGGCACAACGGGCTCGTATACAAGCTATACGGGTTCGGAGTGCCCGATCGTCTCGTATGCATAATACGAGACTTCCTAAGTAATCGGACCTTTCGCTATCGCGTCGAAGGCGTGTGTTCGACAAAGCATCCCGTTCGAGCCGGGGTGCCACAAGGGTCGGTGTTGGGCCCAGTCCTTTTTACGCTCTACACCAATGACATGCCGCGAGTCAAAGATGTAGAACTTGCCCTATTTGCCGACGACACCTGTCTTTATACAGCAGGCAGAACATCCGAAATTATCCATCGACGCCTCCAAGCTGCAGCCATCACCATCGGTGACTGGTTTCGGCAATGGAGGATCGAAATCAATCCCGCCAAGAGCGCGGCCGTCCTTTTTTCGCATAAAAACGTAGATAAACCACCCCCCGTTAAACTCGTGGATAGTCCGGTACCATGGGTGAACAAAGTTAAATATTTAGGTGTCGTCCTCGACTCCCAACTTAGATTCAACCAGCACGTGACTCGGGTCAAGAACCGGGCGGCCTTCGTACTTGGTCGCCTCCATCCGCTCCTCAACAAAACGTCTAAAATGTCCCTTCGGAACAAGGTGACTTTATATAAGGCAGTAGTTCGCCCTATCATTACGTACGCGAGTCCAGTTTTCGCACACATTGCTCCGAAACAAATACACCGGCTTCAGGTCATCCAAAATCGATTTCTGCGCAGAGCCACGGGAGCACCCTGGTACATGCGCAATATCGACCTTCATGTCGATTTAGAGTTGCCCACCATCGCTCAATTCCTGAAGTCGGCGTCGCGCCGATACTTCGATTCCGCCGCCGCGCATCCTAACCCGCTAATCGTAGGTGCCGCCACCTACAGACCCCTGCCCCTAGGTACGTTCCGCCGCAATCACCGTAGACCGCGACACGTTCTCGATTTCCCTGACGATGAGACGACTATCGCCATCGAAAGGATTAAAAAACTTCGCAAACACACCAACACAAACCGCACTCGCCGACGAGTGCGGCAAACATATACTAGGTTCCGCCACGTACCTGGCAGGTTCTCCCCAGTTCAAGATAGAAGCGTTGCTGGAGTTTCTTCCGCCACTTCTTCTCCCAGCGCCAACGCTTTACGAAGTGGTAGTAACGATAGCTCTAGAGATTCCCCCAGTCAGATAACAGCTACCGATCGAGCCGAGGTCCGGCCCTCTCGGGCACCCTCGAATCGGAATGCTAAACGCGTGTTGAGTGACAGCCCAAGCCGAGGTCCCCTCTCGGGGACCCTTGAGCCTGATCACTCCATGGAGCCCCCGCCAAAGCGCCCTAAGAGCTTGGCGGCCTCCCAAACCGGTGAATTAAATAGCGTGACGGCCCGAACCGAGGTTCCTTCGGGAGCCCTCGAGCTTAGTCACCATAACGCATAATAATAGTACGCCGAGGTTCAGGCGAGGCGCCCTGAGCGCCCGGCCACCTCAAGTCCGTCGGAACTGTAAAGGCCCCTAAGGCCAACAGTGGCTCATCAAGCCCAAAAAAAACATATATTTTCAGATAAGAAATTACCAATATGTTTTCACGCGACGCTATTAGGGCACTAGAAGAAGGTTACCTTTCTGATTTAGAATTATCTTCTGATGACGAAGGACCAGTTGGACCTGCATCTGAACGCGAGCTACAATGTGTCCGAGTGGGAGCAGATGTCATCAGCCGGAACCAACGAGAAATATTCACGCCAGCTTGATTGTGATGATGATGCTGAAGACGCTGGCTCATCGTGGGTTGAAATGAGTGATAACTTTTTGCCAGAAGTGCCTGCCGCCTCTGAAGATACGCTTTTACAGAATATTACGCCGAAGCATAGTATTAGGTGGAGACACAAGGAAATAGTAAACACAATTTCACCAACTTGGTTTCCACTCCTTGCTATTGATCCCAGAGTTGAAAGCCCAGTAGATTATTATAACAGATACGTGCTTAAACAATAATTCAGGTTATGGCTGAAATGACAAACTTATACGCTACATATTCCAATAAAGTAAGGTTTAAACCTACTACTGCCAATGAAATAGAAATATTGTTTGGATTGCATTTGGCCACTGGAGTAGTTGGGTACCCTTGTTTGAAAATGTATGGGGAAACAAATCAGCATTCCCTTGTTCACTGAAAACATGGCAAGGGACCGATTTTTTGAGCTGCGTAACAATTTACATCTAGTTGATAATACAGCATTACCAGGTAATTCTAAAGATGCGTTTATCAAAGTGCGCCCGATCTTTTATGCTGTTAGAAAGAAGTGTTTAGATTCACCACTCGAGAAAAACCTTTGTGTTGACGAACAGATTGTTCCTTTCACCGGAAAACATGTTGCCAAACAGTATAAAAGTAACAGCCTATACATGTCCCACTGCTGGGCAAAGGCCTCCTCTATACAGAGGGTATCAGGGCATAGTCCACCACGCGGCCCCACTGCGGATTGGCGGACTTCACATATCTTCGAAATATTTTTTGTTATTATTTCGAAAATATGCAGGTTTCCTCACGATGTTTTCCTTCACCGCGGAGCACGTGATAAGTCAGCACTTAAAGTTAAAAACTTCATTGGTGCCGGCACCGGGGATCGAACTCAGGTTGCTCGAGTATATTATATTAAAGGCGAGCGCCCGGACACTGAGCTATCACGGCCAAACAGTATATAAAGGGCAAACCTTGTCCATGGGGTCTGAAAATCTTTTTCCTTTGTGGTAAACGTGGTCAAGCTTACGATTTTATCCTTTATCAGAGTTCCAGTCCAGAATTAGATAATAATTTAAAAAAAAATGGATACGGTTCAGCTGTAGTCCTTCATCTTACAAAGAGGATTGGAGAAAGCAAATGTCACCAGCTATACTTCGATATTTATTTTTCGTTCTACCATCTGCTACAAATTTTAAAACAGAGAGGAATTATGGCTGCTGGCACTATCCGTATCAACAGATTTTGTAAAGCCATCATCGCTAAGCGACAAAGAAATGAACAAAAAACCACGAGGCTTTGCTCAAGAAATCACTCGCTATGATGAAGATGTACCTGTCGTCAAATGGTTGGATAATAAGATTACCCATTTAGAATCTAATTTTGTTGGTATGGTACTATAGGACGTTTATAAAATAAAAAAAATGGACCTTACGGATGATATTCCATGCATCAGATTAAGCAGTAGTTCAAGCATTCCGAGAATACCAACGAGGCGCTTAGCATACCTAAAAACAAACAACTGACATTGCTTCACTTTCGGCGTCGGTTGACTGAGTCTGGTGTTGCAAAATAAAATTTCGATGGGTAAAAGAGGCCGTCCAAGTGGCGGTAGCCCAACTCTTCAAATTGTACCTAGGAGACCAGGAAAGACACGCCCAGAAGCTGAAATAACTCGAGACGGTTTTGGGCATTTTCCTGCACACGATGAGGGGCTTGGGACACACGGTGTAAAATGATGTGATTCAAGGGTAGAACTCGAATCAAATGCATCAAATTCATTTATGCCTAACTAAGGATAAGAATTGCTTCTTAGCATTTCATACCTAGGATGCTATATTGATGCCTTTGATTTTAATTTTAATTTAGACTGTGATTCAAGTGTAATTTGTTTAAATCTACCCAAGGAAAAAGCCATTTTTTGTTAATTTTTATAATGTAATTTATTTATATTATTATTTCATATTGCTTCGTATTTCCTAATAAAAAGTTGTAAAATAAATGTTTTTATCATTATAGACAAACATCCCTTAACACTAATATTTTCATTACGTTGGACGGACTTGTACACAAAAAGAAAAAGCTGTTTTTCTTGAAAAGCTTGTAATCAGGATTTATTTATTTATTTTTCCTTAGATCTATTTACAATAGCCTAGTTGCAGGTTTTTCAGATCGATTAGCGAAAATAAAAAAAATCAGGTCTGAAAGAGTTAAGACAATTCTATAGTAAGATGTGCCAACTTATGTTAGAATTAATATTAACAGCATTTAAAATACATACGAAGATCATTAATATAATAAATGCCACTACATATTTTTTCAAAGCAACAACTGCCTAAGAACATAAATACACTAACTTTGCATCTAAATGCACCCTTACCTTATGAAATAAAATAAATAAATTATATTCATTTGCGTGGCCTGCACGCCATCACCGACGGATCCCTAAATTCGGAAGTGCTCGGCGTAATTCGGAGACGCGAACGCTTCCCCGTTTGGGCCAATTGAAGCGAAACTGCGTTTTCTACGTCAGACGGAGCGGTCACGGTGCTGTGTGCTACTAAGGGTAATTTAGAAATTCAGAACGCTTAAATTCAATTTATTCCCGCTGGGGTGAGTTCTCATTTAATTACTATATAGTTTATTTATAATATTGTAACCGTTCTCTTTTCCTATTATTTTTCTTACTGGGGCTGCTTAGCGTTAGAAGTGTAGATTTTTGTAAAAGGGGACACTCGAGCTCGAGTAGGGTTTGTCGATTGCCGATGCATGCCACCCTAATTCTTGCCTTCATCTGGTTTCCAGGATCCACCTACCCTATTTAATAGGCGAGCGCTGCCGTCGAGAATAATCTGTCGATCTACCCGAGCTACCAGAACACCCAGTCTCCAACCGCTTCGAAAACCTACGGAGAACAGCCTACTGGAACGTCTCACTCTACGTCAGGCCAGCGAACCCACTCTAAAGCGGAAGTAAGGCGAATAAATCATTATTAACAAATCTTTGAACCCACCTGCCTCCTCCACCTTCTGAATTTAGCCGTTAGGCCATTATAAAATTAGATTCCATTGCATTTAATTCACTTACGTTAATGCATGCTGTTTATTTATATAATGCATTTTATGACAGAATACCCCTAAGGAGGTTGTACAGATCATGTTTACCAACGTGGCGATAAAAAAATGACGTTGTGTGGGTTGTTAAGAAAAAATTACGACGCTCATTAAACAGCACTGACGCTTCTAAAAAAGCTAAAAGAATGGTTACCACACATTACATTCGTGCGAACGTAGCAAAATCTACATTTTACATGCTCTACAGCAATAGGCTCTCTAGACCCACAAAAACTTCAAAATATATGTCATTGATATAATATACTCACTGCTACGTCCCAATATATTTATTGTAATATTTTGTATTTTAGACAGAATCTTAATTGTTACCCAAAGAATAGTATAGTAAACAGGCATAAATTGAATACTAGAAATAAGGACAAATTGACTACGCCATTGTTTCGTCTACAAAAAGTAAATAGGTCGTTCATGGGGCAAAGTGTAATAAAATCCCACAGTCGATATTAAGTCTTGATCAATCAGTCACTTGATCAATTTAAACGCAAAATTAAGTGAGCTTATGGCTAAGGCATATTATACCATTGCGGAATATCTTGACGACCCCAATGTTTGAGGTTAATACTGTTGATACTCACGTAGTCTAAAATAAGACTTATACCTGTCATATTATATTTAATCGTTTTAAAAGAGAGCGACTGTTGAGTTTCTTGCCGGTTTCTTCTCAACAGAAACTGCTTTCTGAAACGGTGGCAACTTACGAACGTATTTATTTGTATGTAAAATTTTGACGTTTCACAAGAAGCGCAAACATCTATATGAATAAACATATTTTGATTCCATTGATTTGATTGGTTTTTTGGAAGATATAAAATATTTTCAAAACTTTATTTTTACGAGACTGATTAGGTATCAAACGTACCAAAGGGTAGGTTAGTTTCGAGATCTTTTAGGTCTCCAAAGCACCAGCTGAAAGATCTTTGAAAATGATGGCGCAGAGAACGTGATGTCTGCACGTGAGGCATGGGGCAAAGGGTGCACGCATACCAGAACGACTATCATTGAAGAAATTAAAGGTTAATTATATTCATGGGTGTGGTAAAATTGCTACAGAACTCGGAATATTGGACTAAACATGTGATGGTTTCTCAATACCTTGCATAAAAGATCTTGTCACGAAACCGCTTTGAGATATTGTTGTAAATGTTGCATTTTTCTAAAAACGATCAGGCGAATAATTGGATAGATACTTCACCGCGTAAGGAGCTTTATGTACAGCTATATTTGAACCAAAGATCTTTGCGATCATGAAACTTTTACAAAATTTTCCTTATATCAAACATCACTTGTAATCTTGGAACAAATTATTCCTCAATTAACTATTCAAGAAAACATTCTTAAAGAATTAACTGGCTTTCACAAATATGTATAGAGTGAAACGATCGTATTTAGATAGGGTAGAAAGTATTTTAAAAGTATTGTTGGGAATCCTAGATGCCGAAGATGCGAATTTGTATAATGCAATTGAAAATCTAGATAAAAATGAAAGTTTTGATCGCGAAGAATAATGCTATTTATACGGTTATCATAATCCCGGAACAATATGGAATATTAAAAATATCGATTTATATAATCCCAAATGTGAACTTTTCTTTTACGGAAAGATTTTCTTTTCCGATAAAATGATTTTGACCCAAATGTTTGGCTATATCACACCAGCAATTAACATAGACCGTACAGATTCACTTTACCTCTTACGTGCTCTTTGACGCAAAATTCGTTAAAAACAATTTTGGAACCTCTCTTAAGATTATAGTTTAATAATTTACCTATATACCTTCTTCGTTCCGAGTCCATTTTGGAAATGCGGTGACTTTTAGAAAAAAAACTAAATACGACACATTGAAATACATTGAAATAATTGCAAATTATATCATCATCATCATCATATCAGCCGTAGGACGTCCACTGCTGAACATAGGCCTCCCCCATTGACTTCCACTTCGACCGGTCGTTAGCGGCCTGCATCCAACGCGTCCCTGCGATCTTGGCTAGGTCGTCCGTCCACCTTGTGGGAGGCCTTCCTACGCTGCGTTTGCCGTCACGTGGTCTCCACTCGAGAACCTTTTTGCCCCAACGGCCATCAGTTCTTCGAGCTATGTGCCCTGCCCACTGCCACTTCAGCCTGCTGACTCGCTCTGCTATGTCGGTAACTCTAGTTCTTCTACGGATCTTCTCATTTCTGATTCGATCTCGTAGAGAAACCCCAAGCATTACCCTTTCCATAGCGCGCTGTGCGACCGCGAGCTTCCTTATGAGGCCCATAGTGAGAGACCACGTCTCGGCACCGTAGGTCATCGCTGGTAGCACGCACTGGTTAAAGACTTTCTTCTTTAAGGACTGAGGTATTTTGGACGTAAGGTTTGAGGTATTTTGCAAATTATATACAAGTAATAAATTGCTACAAACTCAAACATTAGGTTTAGAAAGTAATTTTTATTCAGTTTTACCGCCAATACATATTATATCATATGATTGCTGTAAGAAGTTGAAAAAAATTCACAAGAAATTGTATTTAAAAAGTTTGAATTTACCAACTATAAAATAGACATTTATGATATTATGGATCAAATGTACTAACATAAAAAAATGTAGTAATTTTTGATAAGGATGTTAACAATTTTTATTTCGCTTACATATTTTTCTCTATTTTGTTCCAGCCTGTACAACTTTGTTTTGGAATAAGCTGGACTGCTGTGCACTTAGCACGTGCCTTTCTGAAGCGGGGCGGATGTGAGGTATTGCTGAAGGAGTTTTTAAATCTCAGCTCCTAATGATCATAATAGAACATTTTGATCTTATGGTGATTCAGGGGTCGAAGTGACCAGAAAAAGAAGGCAAATCAGTGTAATCGACACTGATAATAAAGATGAAGAAAATGTACCATGTACAAGATATCTTTGCCCTTGTCGGTGAAAAATAAAGATCCAAAGGTTAAAAAAACTCGATAGAAACGGAAATTTGTCTCGAAAAAGAAACAAAAAAGAACATTTCTATTGTTAAGTATTGCAAATACTGTGCGACAATCTTCAATAATGAGATCCTGGTATTCCTATTATCTATTTCGAGAACTTAAAGATTTGAAAGATTAAAGTTAAATACAATAGAAATATTGCGGTCATTGATACAGAAAAATTATATTGGCAATATTGAAAAATTAATCAGCGCAATAAGATGACTATGTGATTTGCAACATATGGAATCTACAACGAGGAAGGGCGTTATTTTACCAGAGTTGAATAGGAACATAAAAATGGCCTTGGAAAAAGCACTGATACAGAGAAATTTTTTTGAATACTACATGTCAGAGGTTATAGAAGTGATAAAACATATTGAACAATCGACCAAAGCTTTGAGGGGTAATGCAAAACTTCATCTCAGTGTTCTTTTGTAACCAGTCTTGTTCGAAGAGGATGCAACATCAGACTAGGCAGACCGATAGAAAAGGTAGCATCCGCGTCTCAAACCTAAGATGCCATTCTACAGCACATCCTCGTCCCTCTCGAAATTAGGATCTTCCTATGAGGGCAACATATTGCCTATAAACATGACACAAAAGAAATGATTAAAGTTAAATACTGCAAGTAGGTAATCCTTATATATGATAAAAAAATTACAAAAAAATAAAACCATATTCAGGTGAGTTTTCAGTCAGGAGGTATATCATCATCATCATCATTTCAGCCTGTTCGAGTCCACTGCACTACTCTCACGAAGCACGATCCCGAGCCACCTGCATCCATCCACTTCCCGCACATTTGCACAGGTCGTCACTCCATCTTGTGGGGGGTCGTCTCACACTACGATGGCCAGTTCGAGGCTGCCACTCGAGAACCAGGAGGTATATGAACCTCTGGAATTTCTTCACACAAAGCCTACATTAAATAATTCTTACAGCCCTTGTGAAAAAGAAAGCATCGAAATTGCATAACTGAGTTCGATTTTTTAAAATTATATTTACATTACCTATGTTTTCCCTTTATACTTATAAATTATATAAACTATGTGGAGCTCCTAATAAATACCGACAGATAAAAATTCTAAACTTTAAAATAATGGTAAACAGATGGTTCTAATTTTATTTAAGTATAAAGTAAAAACATGTGCATAGTCGATTAAACAACGATGTTATAACAGCACTTTAAAGGTTAAAAATTAGTCATTAATCTTTAAAGTGCTGTTAAAACAACCGTTGTTTTAATCAGTCAAACCAAAAAAATATATAATAATGGAGTATTATATATTTGTTACGGTGGCCCAACAACAAACCTACAATCGATCGAAGTGTACTTTGGACCCACTGGGTATATGTTCGAAGAAAAACATTTATTATGTAGAGGATTAGATAATTTAGTCCTTGCGCCCCATATTCGCACTGGAAATTTTTCGAGACAATGTGACAAGTGTTGAGCTTGTCGTAGTCTTAGTGTAAGCCAACAATATAAACCGTTCATAAGTTTCGAAAATACTCATCCTAGTGATAGAACTCGGGTCTCATGATTCAAATGCACCAAACTTGGCTTATCATGATGTCGTATGATCTTGAATAGATATTATTAAGGAATAGATTTTGTTTTGTCTGAATGAGCTCAATTACCTCATTGGGAATGTCTAATATTTTATATAATAATGTGTATAATAATATAATGTGTTATTTCTGGACAATCTATTTGATATTGTGAATGTTGTTTGCACTTACGATAAAAAAGTAAGGGTAAATTACTACGAACAGCAGTCACAACAAAATCCAACCCTGTAGAATTTTGGAGAGATGAATATTTAAAGTTACAAAATTTCAAGTTTCTAGTTGGTTCGAAATCATGAAATAGTTGTGCCAAGCATTGAAAACTGGCTAACTACTTTAAGAAGATTACTGAGGCTGTGGCAATTCCTTAACGGAAAAAACATAAATATTATGCGCTCAAGGTACTTTAATTCAGACACAATAAAAAATTTCTTTGGTCAGGTACGAGCATACAATTACAAGAGTGATAACCCAGATTGTCACAGCTTCACAAACACAATTAAATCGTTACTAATAACAGGATTTAAAAAATTTCACAGTTATACCTTTAATTGTGAAGATGATTTTCCAAAACAAATAATTAAAACTAAATAATTATTTAATGAAAGTTCTACTCCAGTTAAGGATAATGTAACAATTTTCTTGTGGACGAGTCTTATAATACAGCTGATTTTGTGTTGGAAGCAAGGCGTAAACGGCTAAATGTACACTCCTGGATATATACTACAGGTTGGATTGTAAGAAAAATGTAAAAGATAATTCTGCAATAAAATATTGACAGTGAAACAGCCTGCAGAGCTGCGTAAGTAGTGGGTTTCACAAAGAGAATATAATGGGGTAAAAAACAGGAAACGCACTTATGCCTCCGAAACATTGATTTTATTATTTATAGAAATTTTAAAGTTCACTAACACTAAATTTAATTGCCCAGTGTATAGAGCCAGAAATATATTACATGAAATTTTATGCAATGACATAGCAAAGAGATTTGACTCTGCCCAGTGTGAGGACTCTTGTATGTGAGATAGGCCTCTCGTATGTGAGATAGGACTCTTGTGTGTGAGATAGGACTCTTGTGTGTGAGATAGGACTCTTGTGTGTGAGATAGAACTCTTGTATATGAGATAGGACTTTTGTATGTGAGATAGCACTCTTGTTTGTGAGGCAAAAATGTTAGAATATAGTGGGAAAGTTCTATTCTCTGTCTTATTGTATCTACAAAATCTAAATAACAGTTTACACAGCCAAACTGAGCCCAGGGGTAGGCCTAGACACTCCCCCGTCGTGCTGCCAGCTTGTCGTGGTGGCGGGGCTTGCGTGTCCTAATGACCTCCAAGGCCATGCCGGATAGGGTCTCCCATACCGGACAGGCTTGGAGCGAGGGACCAGACGAAGAGCAGCACAAGGAGGGGCCCTCCGTGTGTTTCTCTCATCAGCAGAGAACACATCGAATAGGGCCAAAGAGGACGGGTCTGCGCGCTGACTAATCTCAGTGCGTCTGACACCACCGTCGGGGGAGACTTCGCCAACTCCTCGTTCCGTCACCAGCGTCTCACTTCAACGACCCTTCTGTTGGCTCCAGTTCGAGATTTTGTGTGGGTATATGTGTGTCTGTATGTGCTTGTGTGTGGTTCTGTGTCGCTGATCGGAGGGCTTGCCTTAATTGGCCGGCCCGCGGGAAGGAAAACCCTATAAAACCCGAGAGAACCCTCGTTAAAACCAGTGGATACCTGGGGACCTCCACAGTATGTACCACACTCCACTTTTTAGTCGACCGGAATGGGCGTAACGCGGGGAGTGCATTTATATCGTCCCAACAAGTAGGAATAGAAATGGAAAATAAAAATCAAATAGAAAATGACGTTCTGAAGAAGTTGGGCGCACAGCTCGAACGCTGTGATACCCGAAGAAAGGAAGATTGCCTTTTTGCATCAACAACAATAGGGAGTTTAGAAAAGGTTGGCGGTATATCCGCGTCAGATTCTGGCTCTGAGATGAGCCTAGAACTGGAAAATAGCGTAGCTAGCAATTCTAGTTTCGCTAGTATGGGTAGCGGAGAGACCCAGAGAGTGCGCAAGAAGCGCACTCGCGCCTCGAATGCAGACACCGAAGCAAAGGACCTTCCGGAATTTCCGGTGTTCTAAACGAGAGGCACCTAAAAGGGGTAGAGGCCGCCCGCCCAATTTTGGGCAGTTTGCGGCTGGCATAAGGGGCGCGGGAACTCATCGAGTCAGGAGGGAAGAGATGGAGCTCGAGGCGGAGAAGGAGGTTGCGATGCTGACCTAAAGACACCGGCTCGATAGAGCAAAGTGCTCCGCTGGCTTTGATGACGTAGACGACTCTCGCCTTTCTTCGACCATGCTTGAGAGAGTCGATGATGGCATCAAAGTAATCAGCAAAGTTGCTACAAAGTTGCACTGCTGAACACAGACCTCCCCCAAAGATTGCCACAAAGTACGATCCTGAGCCACTTGTATCCATCGACCTTCCCGCATCCTTATGTAAATTATTTATTTAATTATAATGATGTAGATATTACCTAACATGATGACTTAAAACCAAACACTTCAGGGTCCATCGCAATTCCTCTCATCCCCACAGGCCCTCACTTAACCACTTGCCACATTTTAAAAATAACACCAAACGATAGTAGGTATATTTAATTAATAAATTATTATTTTTTAAAACGTTATTTAATGTTTGAATAACTGAAGCCTGGTTCATTTTATTTTCAGAATCTGGCAACATCACCACCCGCACCTATGAATCTTCTGCCATCTACTAGCTAGCAGTCAGCTCAGGCTTCCACAAGCTCAAGGGTGCAACAAGCTGCTTTGACTGCGCCTTCCGGAGAGGTCTCCGGCAACTAATAGGCGTCGGCTACCATCAACTCTGCGGTCTAGGGTAATGCTGTTTTCCCTATGAGCAAGGTACCTAAGGGTGCGCCAAAGACGGAAACTGACGCCATTGAATATAGTCCATTTCAAAGCCAAAAAGACATAAGTTTGCGCGCTAACCGCTAAAAAGTTCCCATTTGTCGTAACTCCTCATTTTGAGAACCTTTCTGCCACAGGACTAGTATTAGCGGAATACTTGGCGTCGAAATCTCGAGCAACGTCCAGTTCCGCGGTCAATTGGAAGGTACGGCCAAATTGGCCTCAAAGAAGCTTGGTTGGAAGGCGAGACAGTATTTCACGTTGGCTCAACGGCTAAACCTCTATAAGACGCAAATTCGGCCCCATTATCAGCTTTTCCCATTTGACCGCTTTCAACAACGTCAGGGTCTTTCCGATCAGCGTGATCCTTTGGCCCTTCGCACAGATGCGAGATCATTCTGCATCTTCTTCCGCATATATCACGGGGAGTTTGTTTGAATCCCGGCGGCTAAATTTCACCATCAGACATCGCGCCAAAACCAAAACTCTCATCCACACCACCTCGATGTCCAGCGTTTCACAACAGTGCGATTCTCCAGGCATTTCCTGCCTCGCACAACCACACTGTGGAACCAGATGCCCCCGGCGGTCTTTCTGAACCGTTACCATTGGGATCCATCAAGAAGAGACCATATTCTTTCCTAAAAGGTCGGCAACGCATATGCAATCCTTCCGGTGTTTCAGAGGTTTATGGGCGGCGGTGAACACATCCGGTGAGACTCCTGGCGTTTGGCCCTTAATTTTGAATTCCCATTAAATTAAAAAATGGGAATAAATATTAATAGGGTACTGAGAAATAGTGCACATTCTTATGTCTGCGAATAAGGGAACAGTTGCAAAAGTAAGTAACCTGGCACAGCGTGATGCAAACCTAAAGGTTTGGAAAAGTTAAATTTAATAAAGTATTGATGACATGATCAACAGCGATCCATTATATATTCTTGTATTTCCGACATATGTCCTAGTATAAATACACAAGCGCCATGCTTCCGAGGCAGCCGAATAAAGCATTTTATTTTAATATGGATGGTAAAACGGGTAATCTGGATCTGTATTGATCATGTTATTTGCACGGTAAAACAAAAATTGATAACCTTGGCATTTTGCAAAAAGACCAATAGAGAAGAAAAATCAGCCAATCTACTACTGACAAAACTCATCACTGACTGACAAGATATAAAAACTTCCCTTAATTGAAGACGGACTTCCTCTCGCGAACATAGAGATGGAGGAAAAGACATCATTTATGTTTTCAAATACCTTATATAAGACCAAAAAAAAACGCAATAAACCCTTCGGTAAATATGGTGAAGTTTACAGGAACCGGAAAGGATCTTTTTCTGTAAATGTGCAGGTCACATGTGGCCGGCCCATTCATAAAAATATGAAATAATATCAAAATATATATCAATAAATCGGTGGGAATATTTTATCAGAACGTACGGTGACTGCAGACAAAACTGAGTGAATTTTATGTGGGCGTGGCATCGTCGGCTGCATACTTAATCGCAGTCACAGAAACTGGATGCAACGAATCCATATATGACCCAGAGATAATTCCACCGGGTTTTACAATTATCAGATGTGACTGAGCGGACGGACACAAACAAGGAGGTGCGTTTCTCGTGGCCACACTGCGGTTATAATTACGTCGAGTACAGTGTGACTTAAACATAGACGCGCATACATTTGAGCTGATTTCTACGAGGTACGAGTGCGGGCGGTTTTTGTTCCTGCTATGTTTTCATTCCGGTATTCTAAAGTCTTAAATGAGCTTTGCATATAAGTATTTACACCCAGGTCAGCTCTTTGACACTCAACACGGGTCAGGCCAGCGAAAAGCACAACCAGCAACCTTCCCTGCTATGAAAGTTGGGGGCGATTGGTTTCACTCCGCATTTACTTGAATTTTTTGTGAGTTACATTAGTGACAGGCAGCAACTTGTGGTCTGGGGTGTGTCGGGGCAGCAGGACCCTTGCAGTTTATTTTATTCATTAACGACCTGTCACAAGTCGTCAAAGACGCTAAGTGTTTGTTGTTCGCGGACGATCTCAAGCTGTCTCTTCACATACACGACCTGAGTGACTGTGCGAGGCTGCAACAGGATATAGACAGAGTATTCAAATAGAGCAAGGATATTTTTTTGGAATTTAACTTCTAAAATGCGCAATGATCACCTCGTCTAAGACCCTGTCTATCACCAATATGAGGTTGACGGGGTGCCAATGGTTAGAGTTGTCGAAGTTAGGGATTTAGGGGTTAATTTAAACACGGACCATACGTTTCGTGGCTATATAGTGAAATGCTGCAAGAAAGCTTACAGAAACTTAGGTTTCTTACTTCGCACCGTAGGTGGCTTTACCAACATGAACGCAGTGATTGCACTGTATAATGCGTTAGTTAGGAGTCAGTTGGAATGGAATGCCGTCATTTGGTCTCCACATGAGACTACGTATAGATTATTATTGGAGCGTGTACAGAACAAATTTACTAGGTTCCTCTATCTGAAAATGTATAAATATACCCGGTCTACCCCTTAATGTATCCGACATTATTTGTTTTTGGTATGGACGAGTACAATGAGTTAAGGGTTAAGGGAACTATTTAGGTACATTTTTAAAAGTAATAAGAAGTGCGCTGCATAGCTCGGCAGTGTTAGGGCAAGTCAGATAGTCCCGAATGTGTGCGAGTGTCGGAGGCGCAGGCCGCCGCTGCCTGCGATGCTGGTGGGGTGCACCAACCTGCTCAGGAAGGTGCCGCTGACGCGCACGCTTCGCACCCTTAACATCATAGCAGAGAAAACTGACTTGTTTTGTTGTACTCTGAGTCAATTCACAAGAGTTACTGTGTATTTAGATTGAAGGAAATATATATTTTTTAGGTTAAGGTAAAAAGGTTGAATGTGAAGTAACAGAGAATTGGGATAATTTTTCAATAAATAAATTGTTGATGTAGTGACAAGGTGGCCTGGATCTGTTCACATTCACTCGTTTTAAACGATAGTCGTTGCTGCCAGAGATTTGAAGAAGGAAATGTACATTGTGTACTTATTGGGGATAGTGGGTATGGTTAATCTACATATCTGAGCTCCAATACTTAACACCTTCTCAACACCAATACTTCATGGGAAATAAGAAAGATACTCTTGAATATTTAAAGAAGTATAAGGCTATTGTTAAAAACAAATACATGCAGAGTGTAAAAGCCTTGCATAAAGATAACGGAGGTGACTACATTTATAATGTAATTAACGACTGCTTAAAGGTAAAGACGGAATTGTTCATGAATGTACTGCTCCATATAGCCCAGAAAAAAATGGGCGTGCGGAAAGAGAATTCAGAACAATCGAATCGGAAAGCGCTTGATCCATGCAGGCAGAAGCAATCAATTGTGCGGTTTATTTGCTTCATTTAGTCAAACATCATACAGAACGCCATTAAAATTGTGGACTGGAGTCAAACAAATTTTGGAGCATGTGAGAGTATTTTGTAGTAAAGGTCAGAAATATGTACATAGGGGAAGACATAATATATCCTGTATTTATTGCACCAATATTTAATTTATTTTTTTATTTTTTACTTTGGCCACACTTAAAATGTATTTGGCAAGACATTTGTATCATCTCCTGCGAATAGGCTAAGCTCCGCTGTTTTTGCGATTAGGAAGGTTAGAAAGCTAACAGATATTAACACTGCCAGACTTGTTTACTTCAGCTATTTTCACAGCATCTTGTCGTACGACATTTTGTTGTGGGGTAGTGCATCCTATATACATATTATTCTATTACATACTATATTTATTCTTCAACAAATAGCTGTCCGAGCAATCTATATAACATCGGAGTCCGGAGTTCACTTAGAGATCTTTTTAAAGAGATTAATATACTCACTGTTGCTTCTCAATACATTTATTGTAATGTTTTTGTGTTGTTATAAACTATAACCTAAAGAATAGTGACAGACATAAATTAAACACTAACAATAAGGACAAAAATAGATCGTTCTTGGGGCAAGGTGTGCGCATGTATGTAATTTAAACTTAAAATCAAAAGTCAACTTATGGTTAAAGCATATTAAACCATTGCGGAATATCTCGACGACGCCAATGTGTGGAGTTAATACTGTTGATACTCACGTAGGCTAGAATAAGACTATTATACCTGTATGTTATATTATAAGCAGATACTTTTGAATAAGAACAACTGTTGAGTTTCTTGTCGGTCTCTTCTCAACAGAAACTGCATTCCGAACCGGTGGCACCTTACGAACCTATATATAATTATAATTTTTTATGTAAAATTCGCGTCCTCGATATGACTTTAAACTGTCGTGCCCTCACATAATCATTGAGAGTGTAACTAGCCAGCCCGGGGCTTAGAAGCTAGTAAGCCTCATCAAAAGCCTGGGTTGGAACGGTTGGCATCAGTATAGGATGTTGACCTAGGGTGGCGGCGGAAGAGTGCCTATTACTGACACCAACGGCGGCACCTATAAGCCGAGTCAGGCCTACTATGCACTCACCAACCCGCAATAGACAAGCGTGGT